AGCCGAGGTTGGTCTCTGCGGGGCGCGGGGTCCCGCTCTGCCGGCCCGCCCCGGGGATTCCCAGCGGGTCCCCAGGGGCCTCTCCGCGCCCAGATCAGAGGCAGGAAGGGGGGGTGGAGGTGTCTGAACCAGGAGGGTGTGAGCATCCAGGGACTAATTGAACCTGCGGCGGGAGGCGGGGTGGGGGTGGAGTGGGGGAGGGGTGCGTGGGGGAGGGGATAGGGATGGGGTCCGGGGGTGCGTGGGCAGGATAGGCACCATTTCCAGGCTAGGAATCCCTGTGTCCAGTTGAAGAATAGCCATCAGGATCTTCTCGTGCGTTTTGAGGCGGGCTCAGAGATCAAAGGGACTCAGCAGGCCCGAGATGCATTTTTAACAAGCACTGCACCTCCAAGGGATTGTGATGTGGGAGGTTTTTAAGTGAGCAAGGAGCAGCCCCGTGTCGGAATCCTCGCTGCCATATCTCCAGTGGGTGTTTGGGGGAGGGAGGTCTTCGCCTCCTTGCACACCTTTAGCTCGTGGCCGTAAATCTGGGAAGATGTGGTATTAGGATCAAGACTCGCAGCAGGAAAACAGATTGAGGGAGTTAGTCCCTCCACCCCCCAGTTTAGTAAGTGTATGTGTGTGTAATATATGAGTGAATGGAGACGGAGACAAGGCAATGCTTATATGGGAGGCTTTGAGGTGGACACTAAAATGTACTGTCCCTGGCCCGTGCCCTCAGCCTGCTTATGATCTGGTTGAGTTTGAGGTACGGAGCCGTTGCTGATTTTTGCAGGTTGGCAACGGATGAGAACTGTAATTGCCAACAAACAAGGCCTGTGGGCGGGATTCTGGTCCCGTTGACCTTTGATTCCCCCTTCGTTTGCTGCACCTGCACAGCGCTTACATTGTCCCTCCGTTAGTTGTATCACAGTTTAATCACCATTTCCTTTACTTCATCTTCTCTTTATCGACGTCTTAGTCTCTTCCTCAGGAAGTGCACGTGCCTAATATCATTTAGTTCTTGTCCTTTTACCTCTGGCTGGGGTCTTTCTGTCCCTGAACCTCACTAGGGTCTACAGGAGTTCTGTTTTGGGTTTCTAGCCTCATGAGTTGGGGGAAGGGGGCGTTCCTAAGCCAAGGAACCTGTTCTAAAATGAGATCGAAGCCTGCTGGACCCAAAAACGTAAGAGGCAATTGAAATGCTTGGGAGGAGCTTGATTCAAAAGGAAAAAAAAATAATGCTCTTTTTCTGTTCTCTTTCCATGAAAATTCATCCAGTGATCCCAAGGAAAGCTCTAAAGAGAAGCTATGACTGTGTGGACGGTGACTTGGTAAATATCATCACTCTCACTCCCACACTGCACACTGGTTATTAAAGCTAGTATTTGGCCACCCCTGGAACATTTTAGGTGCTGCTCCTATTGGGTTAAAGATGACTCACTTATCTCCAGCGGTCAGATCTCACTGCTTTCTGTTATAACAGTGCAAGCCAGTTCAAACCACTGTTACTATCTCTATTTTACAAGTCAAAGAAAGTGACCACTGGAGATAAAACACTGTTTGCCGGCCTTAGGTTTATTTTAAATTGTTGTTTAAGTTTTACTGTGGATATTTTAAATGTATGATAAAGTAGAGAGACTGGAAAAATGGCTCCTCCAAACCTCAGGCCAGCATACTTAGCCTGCTTCAGCAATTAGCAACATAATGGCCAGTCCTGTTTTATCTGTTCCCGCCTCTCCATTATTTTAAAGCAAATCCAGATAGCTTATCACTTTCATCTGCATATACTTTATTTTAGTATGTATTTCTGAGAAAGCTTTTCTCCAAAACAGAACCGTAATTCCCTACTTCTACCTAAAACAAATCCCTTAAGCTTGGCAAAGATGCAGTCAGCATTCAGATATCCTTGACTGGTTCCTATTTGACAGTTGGTTTGTTGGAATCAGAACTCCGGTCTACCCAACTTCATTTGACTGGTTTGTCTCTTAAGACTTCTCCCTACCCTGGCCGGTTTAGCTAAGTGGGTAGAGCGTTGAACCCAGATAAAGGGTCCCGGGTTTGATTCTGGAAAGGGCACTTAGTACATCGGTTGTAGGCTCCTCCCCACTCGGGCCCTAGTTGGGGCACGTGCAGAGTGCAGGAGGCAACCAATTGATGTGTTTCTCTCACGTAGATATTTCTGTCTTTCCCTCTCTCTTCCACTCTAAAAATCAATGGAAAAATATCCTTGGGTGAGGATTTAAAAACAGAACAAAACACAAAAAACATCTTCCTTCTTTAACCTTTTTCTAGTTGCATATCTGTTGAAGAAACCAGAATCTCCTATAAAACGTCCCACATTCTGGATTTTAATGACTGCAACCCTGTGTTGTCATTTACCACTTTCCTTTGTCTGTCCTACTTCCTGAAACTGGTAGTTATGGTTGTATATAGGAATTTTCTGAGATTGGTCTACTAGTCCAGGTCTGAGAAAGGCATTTGAACGAATTATAAATCAAGTCATGTCTCCCCCTCCCCCCCAGAACTGGTAAGAGAGGCCATCACTATTGTGCCCCTGATCTGAACTGGGAAATCTCACTATTAATCCCAGAAGAAACTCACCGTTTCATATACCGTTTCATGAACAACACAGGTTGGAACTGCGCGGGGTCCACTTACACAGGGAGTTTTCCATTGGCCAGCGCATTTCCAACCCGCATTGTTCAGGGTCAGCCATCCGTGGTGTATTTGGCTTCCTGAGTGTGGGTTGATCTGAATATTGTTTCTTGGCTTTGCTGGAAAACAGGACTGTTACGACCTGAAAGGCAGGCGGAACGCTTTCCTCATGTGTGTGAAGAAGAACAGGCCAGGGTCTGACTGGGATGTTGGTTTAATGAAGAAATGGCTTAGCCAGTGCCAGTTTGAATATACGCCATGCATCGACCCTGACAAAAAGGTAACAAAAACAAAAATGAAAAATTGTAGCTGGGATTTTATAACCTTCCTTTTTTAAGATAAATAGTTGGGCCCGACTGGTGTGGCTCAGTGCTTGAGCATGGGCCTGTGAACCAGGAGGTCACAGTTCAATTCCCAGTCAGGGCACATGCCTGGGTTTCGGGCTCAATCCCTAGTGGAGCCATGCAAGAGGCAGCCAATCAATGATTCTCTCTCATCATGGATGTTTCTATCTCTCCCTCTCCCTTCCTCTCTAAAATCAATAAAAAATATATTTTTTAAAAAATTGGGGTTTTAGTACCTTGGCAAGAACCAGGACCTGCTGAGCAGTGACTTGTATATCCTGATGAAATTGTTGGTACTTTTATTTTTATTTATTTATTTTTCTTTTTTATTATTTATTATTTATTATTTATTTTTTGTTGGTACTTTTTTTTTTTTAAAATATATTTTATTGATTTTTTTACAGAGAGGAAGGGAGAGAGATAGAGAGTTAGAAACATCGATGAGAGAGAAACATCGATCAGCTGCCTCCTGCACATCTACTGGGGATGTGCCCGCAACCCAGGTACATGCCCTTGACCGGAATCGAACCTGGGACCTTCAGTCCGCAGGCCGACGCTCTATCCACTGAGCCAAACCGGTTTCGGCATGTTGTTGTTGGTACTTTTATAATCAGATGTGTGACACCCCAATCCCCTTCCAGTCAACCAGGTCCTCTTGGGTTTCAGTCTTAGCTGGGGCTGTGCAGTTGAAGAGGGAAAGGGAACTCAAGAAGATGTCCTAGGCAACATGGACAAGGAGGCCCAAGGATGAGCTGTGAGTCCAGAGTGGGCAAGGCCCGGGACATCTGGGAGAAGGGAAGACCAAGGAAAGGGCTCTGAGAGGTCAGCAGGAGGCCAGGTCAGGGATTTCAGCAACATTGGAGCCCCTGGGCTTTGAAAAGTCCTTGTGGGGCCCTGGCTGGTTTGGCTCACTGGATAGAGCGTCGGCCTGGGGACTGAAGGGTCCTAGGTTCGATTCCGGTCAAGGGCATGTACCTTGGTTGTGGGCACATCCCCAGTAGGGGGTGTGCAGGAGGCAGCTGATCAATGCTTCTCTCTCATCGATGTTTCTAACTCTCTATCCCTCTCCCTTCCTCTCTATAAAAAAAATCAATAAAATATATTTTTAAAAAAACAAAAACAAGAAAAGTCCTTGTGGGACTTACCTGGAACCATGTGAGAGATGGGTCACTAAGACCCTGGGCAGAACTGCATTGTGACTTAAGTAGATGACACAGAAAAAATAAGATTGATGAGCAGTGGGGCGGATGGGAACTCCATGTTGATCTCTGACCCTAGCTCATTAATGCCCTAGAGCTGCCCGTATTCTGGGACAAGGACTTAAGAAAGCTCTTCAAGACACCAAGAGTCACTGCTAGTGAGCATCAGGGAGCAGCATAGCAGAGGGGCTGCGAATGCAGTGCGGATGCCAGAGTTGGAATCCTGTCTCTTACTGGTGTGTTACGTTATATCTGGTTCTCAGCTGAAGGTGACTTTGTCCCCCAGAGGACATTTGGCAATGTGTGGAGACATTTTTGGTTGTCACAACTGATAACAAAAATGGGGAGGGGGGACTATTTCCTTAATAAATAAAAAGTGCCTACAAATCAAAAAGGAAAAAACCTCAACAACCCAACAGAAAAATGCGCAAAGGATATGGAAAGCAGCAAGTGGTGTCCAGTGGGTAGAAGCCAGGGAATGCTGCTAAGCATCCTGCAATGCCCAAGACAGCCACCTGCAGCAAAGACTGTTCTGGCCCCAAATGTCAATAATACAATTGCTTTAGAAACCTTGCCTTAAATTATTTGACTACTAATGGATATTTTTCCATTGATTTTTTAGAGAGAGTAGAAGGGAGGGGGAGAGATAGAGAGAGAAACATCGATGTGAGAGAGACACATCACTTGGTTTCCTTCTGAATGGGCCTCGAGAATAGGCCCTGGTGGGGGCCCAGGATCAAGCCTGCAACCGAGGTACGTGCCCTTGTCCGGACTCAAACCCCAGGACTCTTCAGTCCACTGGCCGACACTCTATCCACTGAGCCAAACCAGCTAGGACTCATTGACTACTTTCTTATCTTTACAATGGGGGTGATGATAGTAAATTCTCTTGTAGGGTGCTTGTGAGGATGAAATAAGCTTCTATATGTAAAAGTTCTCAGAATAGTAGCCGACTTATAGTTAAGTGCTCATATCAGTGTTGATTTTATTATTCCAAAGCTAAAAACGGGCTCCTTCATTTATCCCAAGGATTGTACCAGAGTCTCTTCCGAGTTACATGATTTTTCATCAAGTCCCTTCCATTCGGATGGCAGATATTGCTAATGTTCTTTTGGTTTATTCTCTTAAAGATCTGGGTGTAGCCCTTTTCTCTATATCCTGTCAACATTCATTTGTAAATATTTCGTAATCTTACTGGCAAAAGAATTTCACTGTTTTAAGTTTCATTTTCTAGGTCATTAGTTCGGTTGAACATCTTTCGGCCATTTTTTTTTCCTTCTATGAAATATCTGTATCTTTTTCCCCCACTGGACTTTTTTTTTTTTTTTTTTTTTTTTTTACATTTTTATTGTTTTCAGAGAGGAAGGGAGAAGGATAGAGAGATAGAAACATCAATGATGAGAGAGAATCACTGATCGGCTGCCTCCTGTACTCCCCCTACTGGGGATCGAGCCCACAACCCAGGCATGTGCCCTTGGCCGGAATTGAACCTGAGTTCCTTCCGTCCACAGGTCGATGCTCTCTCCATTGAGCCAAACTGGCTAGGGCTGGATTTTCTTTTTCTTACCCTACAGTTATTTTCCTGGACACTATTCATTTACAAAATATAGTGCAAATATTTTTCTCCTACCCTGTTGCTTGCCTTTTGACAAATTTTGACTTTTTGTTGTCTTAAGTTACAGTGAAGTCTTCTAAATTTTGTGAGTAAACTGGTCAGTTTTTTCTGTTTGTAGGCTCTTTTTTCTTGTGTCTTGATTACACCCACTGCCTTCCCAATTTAAAAAAGTTAAAATTATTTTTCTGTGACTTTTTTAAAATTAAGTTTTACCTTCTCCCTGTAATGTTAGTTTTGTAACAGTGTGGTATAGGAGGTCAGTCTAATTTTATTTCCAAATGGATAGTCAGTCCTCTGAATATTTATTGAATGATACATTCTTCTCTCACATACACCTTTGTCATGAACTAAATTCCTATAGAGAGCACTTGAATTAGTTTCTGGATTCTAAAATATTCCATTCACATAGTTGTTTATAGTTATACCAGTATATCACTATTTTCTTCACGATTTTATAGTACCTTTTGAGGTCTGATAAGACCTATCCCCCACTCATTCTTTTTTTCTTCTGAACAATCTTAGTATTCTTGAGAATGACCTGTTCTCTATGGCCTTGAGAATCATCTGGTTAACTTCTACAGAAATCCTTTGGGATTTTGATTGGCATGACACGAATTAAGATTCATTTGGAGTGAATTAGCGAAATAAAAGTATTGAGTCATCTGAGCCAGAAGCATCAGCATGTCATGGTTTGTTTATGCTGCCTCTTCACCAAATATATATATATTTTTGGTTTTCTTCACTTAGTAATGCGTATTCCTTGCTGGGTTTTTCTTTTCTCTGGGTATTTTAGTTTTGTGGTGACCATGGATGGGATCCCCTTTTCCATTATGTGGCTTAAATGATTATTGCTGGGTAATTGGGGGAATATAGATTCTGTAAGTGCATCTTGTATCTGGTCAACTTGATGATCTCTAATTCTAATAGTTTTTTAGTTGATTTATTTTATATTTCTAGATAGTCATGTTATCTGTATATAATGAGTTTTGGCTCCTTGTTTCCAATATTTGAACTTCATTTAATTTTTACTTTACTTCATTGAGATGGGTAGGGTCTTTATTAGGACATGCATGGGAGTAGAGATGGCTGCCCCCTGTGGGTGGACTTTGATAACATCTGCTGATAGACTCTGGCAGGTGTATATTAATGGCCGGACTCTTCCATTCCCTTCCATTTCTACCTTATTAAGATTACTAACTTTATAAAATACTTTTTATATATTAAAATAAGTTAATAATAAGAACTAAAAACACCAGCCCTTTGAAGAGCTATAATTCTGTTTTATTTTGTGGTAGATAATCAGAAATGCCCTAATTTTGTCAAACTAGAACCAGTAGCACAAGAAGAAATCAAATGAATTCTGAGAGCAACCAAAAGGGAGTGACACGTCAAGAAATGAATATTTACTTCATACTAACTCTGTTAGAGACGTAGGTATTTTCATATTTATCATCTCGTTGGATCACTTCCTTGTGTTTCTGAATTCCTCCCACCTTCAGTTCTTATCTATATATATAAAGGCCTAATATGCAAAGTGTCCCCTCAGGAGTTTGACCGACCGGGAGTTCGATCGCTCGCTATGACGTGCGCTGACCATCGGGGTGGCGCGGAACGAAGAAAGGCTCCGGCCAGTAGCCGGCAACTGCTAGGGACCCTACCCGTGCCCAAATTTCGTGCACGGGGCCTCTAGTTTTAATATACTATTCTATTTCACAGGAGTTACTTGAAAAACTAACATCATTTCGTGATGGATTAAATGAAATTAAAGATGAAATTAGCTGTTGCCTTGTCACTCTTATGTCCCATGGAGAAAAAGGCTATCTTAAAATAAGAGATGATGAAAGAGTCAGCCTGGAAGAGATTTTTGAAATGTTTAATAATAAAAATTGTCCAGCACTTAAGGAGAAACCAAAGATCTTTATAATCCAGGCCTGCAGAGGAGGTAAGTGGAAACGTCTTTGTATTCATCGTGTTTGTAGGGAATTCTCATACTGATGACAGAGTAAAGAAGAATAGGTTTAAAAACATGTATGAGTAAATATTATATTTTAAATTAGAGGACTCTTAGCTGTTGTAACTTCAGTCGTGTAGTTATACTAGCGACTGAGCTGGGAGGAAGGGATGGATGAAAAACTTACCTGGGATAGAATAGCTAACTTGGGCTGAGGAACAGTCCAAGTCACTGACTTCATGAGGTGGGTCTGGGAGCCTCAAGTTCTGGGAGAGGTGTGTCCAATTTCCAAGGGATGTCCCACCTTCCAGGTGATTCCAGGTGGTTTGTGGGACTAACATCCGACTTAGCTTATTTCTCTCTTCTTACGAAGATACAAGCCGTGGTGACATTTATTTTATTTTAAAAAATTTTAAAAATATGTTTTTATTGCCCTAACCGGTGTGGCTCAGTGGATAGAGCGTCGGCCTGCGGACTGAAGGGTCCCGGGTTCAATTCCGGTCAAGGGCATGTACCTTGTTTGCGGGCACATCCCCAGTCGGGAGCGTGCAGGAGGCAGCTGATGGATGTTTCTCTCTCATCGATGTTTCTAACTCTATCCCTCTCCCTTCCTCTCTGTAAAAAATCAATAAAATATATTTTTAAAAAAAGTAAAAAAAAAATGTTTTTATTGATTTTTAGAGGGAGAAGGGAGAGAGAAATAGAAACATTGATGAGAGAGAAACATCAGTGGGCTGCCTCCTGCATGCCCCAACTGGGATGGGCTGCCTCCTGTATGCTCCCTACTGGGGATCGAGCCGGCAACCCTGGCATGTGCCCTGACCAGGAATCAAACCAGCGACCTTTTGGTGCATGGGTCGATGCTCAACGACTGAGCCACGCTGGCCGGGCACGGTGATGTTTATTAAGGGTCGCTGGTGTCAGTGATGTAGCATTGTAGTTTGTCTCTTCATTCCTCAAAAAACAGAGAGAAGAGATAGTGGTGTTGAAACAGATGATGAACCCATGGACTTGGATGACATATCAGAGAAGAAGAGGCTGCCCACGTTCAGTGATTATTTCATCATCTATCCTACCCAGGCAGGTAAGACAGCAAAGCTCGATGATTGTGAGATGCCCATTACCTCCTCCATCTCCCTTCAGAAATGGTTCCTATTTTCAGAAATGGTAGGTTGGCATCTTACCGTTCATTTCTTCTAGGAAGACATCAACCTCTGAGTAAAGTACCATAAAGTAAATAAGGTCATTGGCTGTCATGTGAAAACGATGTTGGCCCAAAAGCTAACTCTGTCACTGCTATCTTTTAGACCCTGCAATATTTTTTATGTCAGCTTCTTGTGTTTGTTTTTTTTAATCCTCACCTGAGGATATTTTTCCATTGATTATAGAGAGAGTGGAAGAGAGAGGGAAAAACAGAGAAATATCAGTGTGAGAGAAACATCGATTGGTTGCCTCCTGCACGAGCCCTGACCAGGGCCAGGGCCAGGGAGGAACCTGCAACTGAGGTACGTGCCCTTGAACGGAATCGAACCCAGAACCCTTCAATCCCCAGGCTGATGCTCTTTCCACTGAGCCAAGCTGGCTAGGGTGAGTATTTTTTTAAATATATTTTTTATTGATTTCAGAGAGGAAGGGAAAGGGATAGAAAGATAGAAACATCAATGATGAGAGAGAATCATTTCTCAGTTGCCTCCTGCATGCCCCCCAACTGGGGACAGAGCCTGCAACCCAGGCATGTGCCCTTGACTGGAATCGAATCCAGGACCCTTCAGTCCACAGGTCGACGCTCTATCCACTGAGCCAAACCAGCTAGGACTAGGGTGAGTTTCTTCATGTAAAATGAGTGATAAAATTTACTTATGTCATTAGGATGTTATGTAAATTAAATTATGTAATGCAGGTGCTGTGCTTATCGTAATTGGCATAATAAATACCGAAAAAATCGCTAATATTATTACTAATGTATTCTGCTAATAACATCATTATTATTACTAATACTGTTACTAATAAGTTAAAAGTTTTTAAAAATCTTATGTGCTGAAGGGTGGACTTGACAGGGAAATGTAGAGAAGATAGAAGTAAATGGTCAAGGACATTTATTTAGCTGTTTTTATCTTAACCTTCAAAAAGGATTAAGGTAGTATGTAAATATATATATATGCAGTTCAAGATAAATTGTTAGTGAAGAAATGGAAGCTAAGGATGTAAGGGCAGTAATGTAAAATGAAACATACTGAATGGTGAGACATGGAAAATGTCCCCACTAAAGTTAGATGTAAGATTCCACTTCTTGGTTATTTACTCAAGAGAGATGAAAGCATAGGTCCTCATAGTCATTTGTACACACAGGTTCATAGTGTACAAATAGTTATTTGAAATAGTCAAAAACTCTAAATAACCCAAATGACCATCAACAGGTGAATGGATAAGCAAATCATGGTATATCATACTTTGAATACTACTCAGCGTTAAAAAAGAAATAAGCTCCAGCCCAACCAGTGTGGCTCAGTGGTTGAGCATCAACCTATGAACCAGGAGGTCAGGGTTCGATTCCCGGTCAGGGCACATGCCTGGGTTTTGGGCTTGATCCCCAGTAGGTGGTGTGCAGGAGATAGCCCATCAGTGATTCTCTCATCACTGATGATTCTATCTCTCTCCCTCTCCCATCCTCACTAAAATCAAAAAAAAAATATATATTTTTAAAAATAGAAGAGAGATAAAATGAAGCAAATGTCAAAATGATGAAAACCATTGAATCTGAGGGATGATTATATGGGGGATTGTGAAACTTTGCTTTCCACCTTTGTGTATATTTGAAATCCTTTACTAAAAGAATGCCTTATTGAGAGGTTTTTGTGCTGTTCGTCACATGGACCCACTGTTATGGCCCATGTCTGTTATGGCTCCAGGCACACTTCTGTTAATGCAAGAGTGTCTCTGTGCTCTCAGTTCAAAGCCACTTCCGAGGCTTTAACTATGGGCACAAGAACAGTTAGCGCCAGTGGAGGAGGAAAATGGACGAAATGCCTGTGTTTCAATTTGTAGATCATGTTGCTTTACGGCACCCCCGCACCGGCTCTGTGATGATCGAAGCCATGACTGAAATCTTCCAACAGCATGGAAATAAGTTTCACATCGTTGACTTTTTCACCAAAGTAAGTAAATTCCAAGGGTCTTTGTGCTTCATTCACTCCAGAGCTGATGCACTCGATGAGAAGGTTATGATGACGCAATTGACCTTAGCCATGTAACCAATGTCAGTGTTGCTGTTACTGTGCTCATTTGCAACCTTTTCTCATTAACTCTCTTTTCACATAAAAATGCCAGATGAAGAAGAAACTTACCCTGGCTGGCGTTGCTCACTTGCACAGGGGTGCTTTCCGCAGCCCCTCAGGCTAGGTCAGCTCTTTGGTGTCAGCACGTACACCAAAGGGTTGCAGGTTTGATCCCCGTTCCAGGTCGGGGCACGGGCGGGAGGTAACCAATCAATGTGTCTCACATCAATGTTTCTCTCTCCTCCTCTTCCTCCTCCCTCTCTCCTTTTCATTCTCTCTTAAAAAATCAATGGAAAAAATATTCTGGGGTGAGGATTAACAAAATAAATGAATTCAAGTCAATGAAAGGAAAAAGAAGAGGAGAAAATGACTATTCAAAACCTGATGATAAATCACTGTAATTGGCCATTCTCCAAACTATGGTTCCTGTGTAAGCTCTTGCTGACTAGACACTGGTGAAAAAAGTCCAGAACTGAGGATGAGGTGGCCTTTGCAGGTGACCGATGTGCTGACAGCCACCCCTGGAATTGTACAGCTGTTGGATACGTTGGACATAACGCACTCACACGCTTTCATCTCACCATGAGTGCCAAGGCTCAGACAGGCTTCCTACCTTTCCAGGGGCAAGTTGGAGAGTGAGCCCAGGTCTGTGGGCTCCTCAGTCCGATGCTCTTTCCGCCTCCCAGGACCGAGCACCTGTTGGGACATCTCCCTAGGGCAGTGATGGCGAACCTTTTGAGCTCGGCGTGTCAGCATTTTGAAAAACCCTAACTTAACTCTGGTGCCTTGTCACATACAGAAATTTTTTGATATTTGCAACCATAGTAAAACAAAGATTTATATTTTTGAGATTTATTTTATATATTTAAATGCCATTTAACAAAGAAAAATCAACCAAAAAAATGAGTTCGCGTGTCACCTCTGACACGCACGTCATAGGTTCGCCATCACTGCCCTATAGTGATGTTTGCGTTGCGCTCCAAGGGGTCAGCATTCTGCCGCCTCCTCCTCTGGGGTTTCTCGCTCGGGGCTTTGCAGGCTCGTGGACAGTTTGTGCTCTTCTCTTCCAGGTGAATAACAAGGTGGTGCACACGGAATTTTTTCTACGCGAGGAACCAATAAAAGTGTCTCTCGTCATGGAATCGACTCTCACTAGATTCGTGTACTTTTGACGCCGGGACAGTTTAAGAAATAAGGACTTCTTTATCATAGACTTCGTAAAGAACTGTGAGGCTTCGTAGCATAGGACAAACGAATATCATTTTGTATTATTTTTGTCACTAGTTGTATTTCTCTAATTTGTTTTGTATACATATGCTGTTTTTCTAAGATTTAACTCCGCATATTTGGAGTTTGTAAATAGACTTTTTTTTACTGAATTTCTTACTTCCTGAACTGTTATGAAAACATGGAAGTCAAGCCCCCATGTGTATACTGTTTTATCAATGTCCTTCTCTTGCTGATCACCCCCATCTTCTCCACGGTCAGTTTGGTGCTGGTGTTAAGCCTCATCTTCTTGGCTTAGTACTCAGGAACTGCCTTTATACTGTGGTCTTCCCCTGGTCCCCCTGTTTCCCCATATTGTCTGCAGCCAGGCTGATCTCCTTTTTGACTTCCTAAGCCATCCTCAAGTCTGACCTTGGGTATCTCTACTTGTCCTTTGTGTCTTTGATGCCTTCATGTCTTCACCCCCACCCATTCTCCAGCTTCCTCCTCGCTGCCTCAGTACCTTTGAACTGCTGGTTTCTGCCTGGAACATTGTGTTCCGCCCCATAGGCAAGTCCCTTCTGTCCGTTCATGCATCCTTGCAGAGGGATGCTCTCCGCAGCCCCTCACGCTAGGTCAGCTCTTTTTCAGCACTCAGAGACCCTCTGCTTTCCTTCTGTAGCATTGTACACTACTGTACTTACGTGACTGTGTCGTGGCTGTTAGTCTCTCTCTCCGTTCAGTTATAAGCTCCAAGAGGCAGAGGCCATGGGTCTTATTCGTAACTGTATTCCAGCTTCCATCTGTGCCTTAAGACAGAGAGAAGCCCTGTGAGAAATGTTTAGCAAGTGACTGATGCCTGTCTTTTCATTATTTTATCCATTCCTCAGACCTCACCTTATTACCTCCATGCCTAACTAGCCACATGCTAGCCATCCCCACCTATTACCTCTATGCCTATCTAGCCACATGCTAGTCATCCCCACCTATGTGTCCCATGGCCACTTTTAATATGTATATATATTGATTTCAGAGAGGAAGGGAGAGGGAGAAATAGAAACATCAATGATGAGAGAGAATCATTGATCGGCTGCCTCCTGCACGTCCCCCACTGGGGTTTGAGCCCGCAACCCGGCCATGTGCCCTGACCTGGAATTGAACCTGACCTTCTGGTTCATAGGTTGATGCTCAACCATTGAGCCAGGCTCCATGGCCACTTTAATCAGTTGGAAGTTAAGCTGTTTCCCCTAAGTCTCCCCTAAATGCCCCCAATTGTTAATCCTTACACTCCTCACTGCCTACAGAATATGCTCCAGATTTTCTTAGGAGAATATCCCAAGTCCTCTGCCAGGCCCTACCGACACTACCGGAGTGCTCCGTTTGTCCTGGTCTTGGCTATTCCAGATGATCTGCTGTTCCCTCAGTCACCCCTTCACCAAATTGGACTTGTGATTTAATGAATGCTGACTGAACACTCTCAGATACTTTATGTCATAGTTCACTCTCCTTTCCGCCTGAAACACCCTCTGTTCTGACTGTGTGCTTCCTCCAGAACACATTCTCCAGGATGCCTCTTGGGTCCCAACCCACTAAAAGGAAAATCTGAATGCAGACCAGTGTCTTCACAGTAACAAGCTGTGGATTGAGCGTGGGCTTTCATTGTAATGATGTTCTAACTTCCTATGTGACGTGGACTGTGTTGGGACCTCGGTTTCCCCATCTGTAGAAAAGGAGATGTGGCCCAGCTGACTCAGAACTCCTCCCTTGGACCTCAGGGAACTTTGACTTCTCAGGGAACTTGCTCGTGAACGTCCTGCAGAGGTGACTGTTCCTAAACCCAGAGGTTCGAGATGGCATTTGCATCCGACTGTCGGGCCTGCAGGAGAAGGCAGGTGGTTGGTGAGGATGCTGTGAAGATTGACGGGAGCAACCCAGGATTTCCAGGCCCATCTCCATTTCAGGGATAATTGTGTCCTTTTTGGTTAGTGTGATTTCTTAAGCTTACATACATGTGACTTCATTTTGTAACTTTGATTTTTGTATAAAACATTAAAATGTCTGCTTGGTTCCTAAATAACATGGGGTGAGCCTCTGCATTCACTTGCGTCTGTAGGATTTCCAGGGGGACGCTTCCAGAAGGATGGCAGCACCTGAATTATCACCAGCTCTCATTTCCTGGGAGAGGTTAAGTGACCTGTTCAGAGTCACAGTTAGAAGGTGGTACAGCTGGGGTTCCAAAGCATGAATTTACCATAAGACGCAGAGTGCGAAGTGATGGAGAAAAGTTATACAGATGAAAGCTTGCGGTGGACAGAAGGGACCATACCATGTAACTGAGGGCATGAGAGCTTTGGAACAGAGGAGGGAAAAGGGATTTGGGGACATTGCTCAGGCCACTACAGCTAAAGTGCACGGAGAGGACTATCGGACAACTAGGTATCAGGCAGACAGGTGAAGAGGAGCGATAAGGAAGTCTGGTTAGAAAGGGTGGTGGGAAGATGCCCAAGATGAACTTGATGCCTGGGGCCAATTAGATGCCCCATATTCTCCCAGCTTCAAATCTCTTCGCCACCCAATGCCATGTGAAGCGTAGTCCAAAATACTACGGTCCCTAGCACAATTTTATATTTGGGGGGAAAAAATTCATTTAGTTTTTAAATACAAGGCCCAGAAACCAAAGTTTGGAAAAGGAAGGCTCTGAGATCTTTGTTCATCACAAGTGGGCACGAATTAAAAAATGATGGAGCCCTAACCGGTTTGGCTCAGTGGATAGAGCATCGGCCTGCGGACTGAAAGGTCCCAGGTTCGATTCCGGTCAAGGGCATGTATCTTGGTTGCGGGCACATCCCCAGTAGGAAGTGTGCAGGAGGCAGCTGATCAATGTTTCCCTCTCATCGATGTTTCTAACTCTCTATCCCTCTCCCTTCCTCTCTGTAAAAAATCAATAAAATATATTTTTTTTTAAAAAATGATGGAAGTGCTTGTGCAGAGGACCTGGATCCTGTACAATGGAGCCATAGCCACTTGACAAGTGCCTTAGTCTAGGGCTCCTCACCGGGACTGCCTATCACCACAGTGCATTTTTCATCTTAGGACTTTTCCTCGCCAAGAGTTTTCACCGTGCAGATCAGTGGCCAAGGGCAAAGTTAATTTTGTGGGGGAAATATTAGTGTCTGTGAAGAAACACAGTACAACGTCCTGGTAGTTACAATGGTGGAAGGTATTCTTCAGACCCTGGTGTGCAGATGAGGGAGCTGATGAGATGGTTTGGGAGTATCCGGAAGGCTCTCCAAGAGTCCTTAATCACCAAGCCATTGTTTCCATAAAGCTACTCTAAGTCTTCCCTTTTGTGAGAGCCAAAACGTCTCCAGATACTTAGTTTCTAAGGATGCTGAAAGCCAAGCCTCTACGTTTACTCCTTTTCTATGCCAGCTTTGTTTAAAAGTAGTGGGGTTTTGTTTGAATTTACAAACAACCTATGTTCCTCAGAAAATTTTTAAAAATACTGAAAAATGAGGGGAAAACCCCACCTACTTTCTGTACTTGTACATCTGTAGTTCTCACCTTGGCTGTACATTAAAATGATCTCAGGATCTATTTTTTATTTTTTAGGAGCTATTTTTTTCAAATCAGATTTTCTTGGTTTGGGTTGGGCATGTTTAAAAGCTTGCAAGTGATTCTAAGTGCAGTCAGGGTTGAAACCTACTGTATACGTAATTATTAATACTTTGGCCATTTAAAATAAACTTTTAATGCGTTTCAGTTTTTTTAAGAACCACCCTCATCCTCTAATTTTCTTTTGTACCATAGAATTTTAATCATCTTTTTAAATGGTTGTATAGTATTGTATCGACATAGTAAATTTTTAGTAACGAATCGATTGATGGATATTACAATTTTGTATACCTTCTCCTCCCCCCGCCCCCCCCCCAAAAAAAAAGTTCTCATGCATCTGTGCAGTCTTGTCCTTTTTATTTTTTTCAGGAAATTTTCCCATAAGTGAACTTTCAGAATCTGAATTACGTACTTCTAAAATGTCCTCCAGAAAAGTGACAATCGTTTCTGCAGCTTTTGTTCATCAAACACGCAGACTTGTGGGTTGCACACTCCTTCCCACGTAGGGACACTGCAGCTTCGGGGAGGGACCCGCTCGCCTTCCCAGGTCAGGACAAAAGGCTCGAGTCGGGGCAGGCGGCCTGGCTTCCGGCTCGAGTCCTGGACCCGGATTGCCGCAGAATCGCCGAGAGCCGCGGACTTCGGGGCGGCGCTGGCAGCAGGAGGGGCGGGGGGGGTCCCTAAGTCACGCTCCGCCCCGCTAGCATCAGGGCGGCCCTATTCGCCGCTCCGAGAGCCCGCGCCGCGCCGTCAGCCCGCCTCCCGGAAGGAGAAGGCCTGGATCCGCCCCGTTTCCGCCCGGCTTTGGTTGTCATTGGCTGGCGGCGGGGTATATTAGTACGTCACTTCCGCCCGCTCGGCCTTTCCGCGCTACCCAGGGAGGGCTCCATACGGCGTTGTTCTCGGTGAGTCCCCTGTGTAGTTCCCTGCGTCCCCCCAGGGCCACCTGAACCTCCGTCCCGCACAGACGAGGGGCGCGAGGACCCGGGGTGAGACCTGCAGATGGAGCGGGTCTGGCGGGGCCCGGCGCGCCCGCATCGGCCCGGCGGCCCGCACGTGGCCGACTGGGCCCGCGGGCTCCCACAATGCCCTCGGAGGTGGCGCTGGGGCCCAGGCGCGGGGCTGGGGTGCGGTCCGAGCTGCTGGTGGGCGCGGGTTCAGAAAGGGGGAATCGGGGATGCACCGCGCTGCGGTCGCTTGGGACCCCCAGGCTTTGGCTGTGAAACCAGAGGCCTAGGCTCCACCTTACACCTGCTGCTGGGGCGCGTCGGGTCTTCCGTTTGGTGTTGATGGGTTTTGGGGAAAAGGAATTAATTGCTCCTGGCGGGAGAGGTGAATTCCAACGCGCTACTTGAATGCAAACCTGTTCGTCTCTCCACTGCCTTGGCTCCGCTTATGTTCTCGAATGTGGCTGCTCTTCGCACATCTTTGCTCATCTATACCTTGAGCTTAACTCCCAGGTACCATGAGAAGTGTTAGTTTCATTTAGTTTATTACCCGGCTGTTTCCCTATCCCCACACCACGCTCTCCTCAGTACGATTT